GATTTTTTTTCCAGAAGCTTGTAAGCCTTACGGCTCTGATACCATGTTAGTAATTCATAATAAATTTTCTATATATCATTCAGTTACAAACAGGAGCCTTTATAGGATTGGTCAACAAGCTAAAATCGAAACAAATAAATAAAGGAAACAAATAAATATCCCCACTGAATCAGGGATGATAATTTACCTAATTCCAATCCCACAAAATTAGGGATTTACAATCCTATGATTTATATTATTTTACAACCAAATAGGAAACTAAATAATATATATTATTTTCCACAAATTTGTATTCTGTCATTTCTTTGAATCCACGAGCCTTGCTCAATTGTTCCTTTAAGGTACTTGAAGATCCTTTTTACTGCCTTCCAGTGTACATCTGAAGGTGCCTGTAGAAATTGACTCATTTTGTTCACCGCAAAGGTTATATCAGGCTTTGTATGTGCTAAATATTGTAATCCTCCAATTGCACTTCTGTATAGAATAGGATTTACCATCTTCTCACCTTCATTTTTGGAGATGTACTTCCCTGTTATCATAGGAGTTGCACAAGGTTTAAGGTTCTCAAAACTGAACCTTTTTAGCAACTCTTTTGTGTATTTGATCTGAGCGAGATGCATGCCTGATTCAGATCTCCTTACTTCAATTCCCAGAAATTGATGTAACTCACCCATATCGTTTAGTGCAAACTAAGTGTTTAATTGTCAATGAAGCACTGTAGCAATTTATGATCATTTCCAGTGATTACTATATCACATATACTAAGGCAAAAATGACTTGTTTCTGAGTCAGAGCAAGGAGTTGTCTACTTTGGACTTCACAAACTTCCATTTTAAAAGTGTTTTCTTCAGTTTCTCATACCATGCTCCAGGTACTTGCTTGAGCCCATAAAGAGCTTTCTCAAGTTTACACACGAACGTGGGATTTGCCTTGTCAACAAAGCCTTCTAGTTGGCTCATGTATACTTCTTCCTCTAACTTTCCATTTAGATAAGCATTATTTATGTCAACTTGTCTGATACTTCACCTTTTCCAGACTGCCATTGCAAGTATTATTCTTAGAGTAGAGGCTTTGATTGCTCGGCTAAAAGTCTCGTAAAAATCAACACCCGGGGTTTGCAAGAATCCTTTTGCCACCAGTCTGACTTTGTACTTTATTACCTTCCCTAGAATGTCCATTTTTGTTCTAAATACCCATTTATTTCCTATCACCTTTTGATTAACTAGTGGTGGTACTAGTTTCCAAGTCCTGTTTCTCACTAGTACCTTGTATTCATCCTCCATTGCTCCTTTCCAATCTTTACTTAACAGAGCTTCAGATACATCATTGGGTTCTTCTCTGTTCAGTTGATACTCTTTACATTGAGTTGAGTAGACTTTTGGTTTGAAGATACCGACTTTACCTCTGGTAGTCATAGGATGTTCTATGATCAGTTTACCCAATTTCACCATTCTCAGATCATCATCTGCTTCACTATGTTCCATTTGACCACTGTCCATTTCATCCTGATGTTCAACTGGAGCCTGCTCATCACATACTTCTAAACCTCCATTTTCATCGACTTCTGGTACCATGTCTTCAGATTTTTCCGACTGATCAATGTTGTGAGCTATTACTACAGAGGTTGTGTCAAGATGAGCTGCATCAGTTGAGTGTATTGGGTTGTAATTTAAGTATAAAAAGGCAGATATTGAATTATGGTTTCAAGTTTTAGAGAATTTTCAATTTTGTTGAGAAAGCCCGACTTAAATGGACATTCATTTTCATTGAAAACTACATGTCTAGATAGGTAAACTCTACCTGTTGGACTGAGGCACTTATACCCTTTCTGTGAGTTGCTAAAACCAAGAAATACACATTTTACAGAATGAAATCTGAACTTGTGTTTTTGGTAGGGTCTCTAAGGCAAGGAAAACGTGCACATCCAAAGATTATTAGGAAATTATAGTCAACTTGCTCATCGTATAGCACTTGACAAGGTGATTTCATTTTGAGAACTGGTGTTGGCAATCATTTAATCAAATAAGTGGCAGTTTGAAAGGACTCCCACCAATAGTGAAAAGGCATACTAGCCTGGGCAAGAAGTGTCAATCCAGTTTTTGTAATATGTTTGTGTTTTCTTCCTGCTCTACCATTTTGGGCTGAGGTGTGAGGACAAGAAAATCTCATATCAATACCAGATTGGAGAGCTAAGTCGGTGAATGCTCTAAACTCACCTTCCAGTCTGATTGAAGTGTCTTTATTTTCCTGTCAAGCTTATTTTCAACTAAGTTTTTGAATTGGGTGAATGCATCTAGGGCTTCTGATTTGTTTCTCATAGGATATATCCAAGTGTACCTGCCATAGTCATCAATGAAAAGGATATAGTATCTAAAACCACTTCTAAAATTTAAAGGTGCAGAACCCAGACATCTGTATGGATTAAGTCCAGGGAAGCTGAGGTATGTGAGGTAGACAATTTAAATGACAGAGAATGTGATTTGTGAAACTGGCAGGCATCGCAGAAATGATTGATTTCATTGTCATGAAATTTTGTATTACAAGACTTGAGCACTTGTGACATCACATGATTTATAAGATGTCCAAATCTCATGTGCCACAATTTAAAACTAGACTCGGGTTCTCAGGCACTTTTGGGAACATCAGACACTTTAGACTTGGCTACAAAAGTTGAAAAACTCGACTCATTTGGATAGATTGACACTTGGTAGGAAGACCTTTTTGCTTGATTATTTGGGTGCTCAATCTGATATAGTCCATCCCTAAGCTTCCCCCGCAACAACACCTCTTGGGTTTGTTTGTCCTTGACAACACAAGAATCAGAATAAAATTCCATAAAGACATTGTTACAAGGAGTTAGCTATGAAACACTAACTAAATTTTTCTTAATTGATGGCACCAGCAATGTGTTACCAAGAATTAATGACTTGTCATTTAATGTTTTAAGTGTTAGGGCCAATATGTGAGATGTGAAGTTCATTGCCATTGCCAACAGTAAGACTTTCCTTACCATCACATGCTCCTGTCAGGTTTTCTCTCTCAGTAGTAACATGATTACTTGCTCCTGAATCAGCATACCAAGCTAGATCTGTAACAGTGATTGGTGAAGCCACAAGTGCAACTGGTCTTGAGAGATTGATCTGATATTAGCGGTCAGGTTTGGCACCCATGTACCTTTCATCATAGCGACTAAAGCATTTTTTTGCTGAGTAATTACTCATTCCACAGATTTGACAAAGGCCTTTTTCTCCAGTTTGCCTGCCTCCTCTGCCTCAGCTTCTTCCCCTGTAGCTGCTATTTCTACCACCAAAGTTAGGTCTACCTCCTCTGCTCGCATTTGACTTGTGCACAAAGTTTGTTGAGGCTTTGTTCAAACTTACTGAGGCCAGCATTTAGATGTTCAATCCTGCTTTCATATGTCATGAGTACAGATTGTAACTCGTGCCAAGAGATGGACTCTCTGCTGTTGATTTGAACCACAACGGGAGTGTAATCCTCATCCAATCCAGCTAACACTTGGGTCACAAGGTTACTGTGAGGAACACTTTTACCAGCAATCTCGAGGTTACTGCCAACTGCTTGACTGTGTTTAGGTATTGATCAATACTCATTGAGCCTTTCCTTGTTCTTTGGAGCTCACCAATGAGAAAGGTAACTCTAGACTTGTTCATAACTCCAAAGCCTTCTTGGACTGCATTCCACAGATCACAGGAGTTTGAAGATCCCATCACTCTCATGCCGATCTCAGGTGTCATTGATGAATAAAGCCAACCCATCACTAATTGATTGGTAGACATCCATTTTCCGTACTCAACATTCGGTGTCAGTTCAACAATTACATCAGTCAAACAGTGGTTTGTGTTGCCAGGAATTCTGATGGACATGTTCTTATACCCAAGAGAATCCTTCCAGGTTATGGCCCTTAATGATGGGCATAACCATGTTCTTCCATAGCAAGAAGTTGTTTTTGTCAGGCTTTACTGGTGGAACTTGAGTAAGACTTATCCCAAATGATGTAATCTGATTTCCTCCCAACATTGGAGGCATCAATGTGCTTGATGCTGGCTGAGCTGATTGTGCACTGTCGTTGATTCCAGCGTTGGCCATTATGGTGCTCAGATACCAAGTTGAAATTGCAGTAAATTTATGAATGTATAAAGTTTTCTCTCTACCAATTTACAGTGTGCTGAGTACAATATTTTTTATATACATTCTTAGAGTGGTGAGCAAGAAAAGAAATAACTAACTTAGCCTACACTTATCATACACTCGAGAATCAGTATGGTCACAACAACCCAATATGGTCCCGCAGCTGCATACTACCAGCTGGCAGCATCCATGTGCAGATTGCTGACGTGTGCTCAATTGATTTATATTTCAACAGTCTGATGGAGGAAAAAAAAAATGAATACTGTAAAAATAGGCTGTAATAAAGGCATAATAGCTGGGAGTTACAGCACTAAAATTAATCCGAGTGTATAATTATTAATTACACAGGTAATGAACATTGGAGTTTAGCAATTGAAAAGTCATATGGAAGAAAAAAATATTCAACAATTTATAGGAAATAAAAGCAAAATGTGGACATTCCTAAGGAGTCTATTTGATCCAGCATTCGCGTGCAAAACAAGTTCAAAACTCGATATACAATTTTGATCCTTGATTTGCACCCTCAGTGCACGCAATCGAAGAGAGCATGATTACATCCTTTCAAATTTAATCATATATAAAGTGGTTATTGCTCCCTTCAACACAAAATCATCTTCCAATATATAACTTTGAACTTCAATTTCTCATTCACGAAGACAAATGAACTTTGATCTTTCAAAATGACCGAACAGGTCCCATTCAAAATTATGCCAAAAGCAGCCAGCGAAAAATACAAATTAACTCAACAAATTAGTTAACACTGGACAGAAATTTAAAGTGAAATAATCTCAAGAAATACGGAATAAAAAAGTTATCTTGAAAATCTAATCAAGAAACGGAACAAAATAAGATAAAGAACAGAAAAATTCAATTATTTAATCATTAGCAATAAACAACCTAAAGTTTGTTTACATTTAGACACTGATAACCCTAATAATTAACGAGGACATTATTAAAAAGAAATTAAAACAAGCAGCAGTAAAAACCCTAATTTTTCATCTATTCAGGAGCTGGTGAACTTAGTAACAGCTTTCGTACCCTCAGAAACAGCGTGCTTGGCCAGTTCTCCAGGAAGAACCAATCTCACAGCAGTCTGAATCTCCCGAGAAGTGATGGTCGGCTTCTTGTTGTACCTGGCCAGCCTGGAAGCCTCTTGAGCCAATTTCTCGAAGATATCGTTGATGAAGCTGTTCATTATACCCATGGCCTTGCTGGAAATCCCAATATCAGGGTGAACCTGTTTCAACACCTTGAAGATGTAGATCTTGTAAGTCTCAACACTCTTCTTCATCCGCTTCTTCTTCTTATCTCCTGCCGCTGCGCCGCCTTCTTTTGGCAATTTCTTTCCGGCTTTCGGCTTTTTCTCCGCCGGAGCTTTCTCGGCTGCCGGGGTTTTCTCGGCGGCGGGTTTCTTCTCGGCTGGCTTTTTCTCCGCCTTTGGGGCCATTGTTTCGTACAAAAGACAAACGTAAGGAATGCGTTCTTTTTCTCTCGAAATTGAATTGTGGATGAGAACAGGGTAGAGGGTGGCTATTGTTATATAGGATACGGTGATGGGTCTGATTGGTGAGTTCTGAGTGCCGCGGATCATGAATGTGAACCGTTGATTGGGCGGTACATGAACGGTACAGATTATATGAACCAAGAATTTCTTTCATGAATTCCATCAAATTAAAAATATAAGAAATTTGAAGTATGTAATGGTTAACGAAAAAAAAAGGCTAACCACTACTTCCATTTTGTGGTTGACTTAAGGCCGATAAAGTGTTTTTTTTTCCCCCTCCCATTTTTTCTTTTGGAGCTATTTTTATGTAAAAATATATTTTAAAATAATAAATTAATGAAAAATATGTGATTGAAAAATAAGAAAAAGTTTTTTATTTACGTGTAATAGTATTTTAATAAAAAATGTGTGGTTTAAAAGAAGAGAGAGAAAAATACATTTTGAAAAAAATGGGTACCAAATGGAACATAAATGTAAAGGTAAACTCATCATTGAACGCATGCTACTAAAGTGAAATGTCGAGGATGTAAATGCTTTCTTTTAAAAGATGAGGATCATAATGCAATAAACGTTATAGATTGCATTCCTTCAATATCATTTTCTGTTCTTTAAAAAATTAAGCCCGATTTGACCCCCATTAAATCTTATCAAATTAAATTAAATTTTTCTCTCATATTTTTAATCACATAATTTTCAATAAAATAATATTATATGTAAATCGAAATTTTTTCACTCTTTTACAACCATCCATTTTTGGCCAAACAAGGGCTAAATTAGAGGAAATTTTAGTGTTTCTATTGATTAACTATGGGCAACGCTAGAGTCGTAGGGGTTACAACCTCATAGAGGTGAAGTGAGAACTTAAGCACCCATTTAATATGGGATTAAAATCAAATTTTTAATAGATTTTATTAAAAGTTGATGAAATACATAATTGAAAAATTATGAGTCCCATTAAATATGTGATTAAAATTAATTGTTGATTTTAATTTAGATTAAAATCTTAATTTTAATTTCTACCAAACAAGACTCGATAATATTCGAGAAAAAAAAAACCAAATAATGGCATTCAAACGGTATATTAAGATAATGCTCCATGAATTACAAAAACCTAAAATAAAAATAGAGAGATATACACATGGATAGAACCAAACTTTTTATTTTGTGGGGTCAAAAATTAAAACATATATATATTTTTAAAACAAAATATTAATGAAAATAAATTAATATGTATTTTAAGACTTTGAAAACGTCTTATAATTATATCATTATCATTATTATTAAATGAATATACAAGGCTAGTTCAGAATATACAGATATGTTAGGCAGCCACGCGGCCCACGCCACAAGCTCGAAGTTATTTCAATGCAACCTGCTTTTGAAAAACTGATAGTCTAGGCTTGCTTTTGGCATGAACTCAAATACCAAAAGCAGGTGGTCACCCTCGTCACAGTGAACAATAAATTTAACCGAGCTTCAATGACAAAGTTGCGGCGAAAAATTCACTTCCATATTTCCATCTGCAAAACTTCGGGTGGATACCAAATCAGCTTATTGGAAAGTACATCACAATGAAGTCGCAAGACTCTCAAGTACACGCTGGCGTTCCATTGGGATTCCACTTGATGGCAAACTGTCATTTCCAAGCCTGGCTTCTTTAGCATTGAGTGTGATCATTAATCTATCCATCGAAAATAGGACCAAGGCCAGGCCTCCTCTCAGTCAGTTGAGTTAGAGAGAGATGCTCTCAACCTAGTGAGAGAAATTCCCACTTTGGTGCTCACTTGTTTCTGGAATTTTTCTGGTGTTTCCACTAGCTTTATTCTGATTTTAACTTCTTTTTGTTGAAATTGGATGAAACATTCTGGATTGTACATCTTTGGTGCTGTTGTTGTAAGGTAATTTTTCAATTCTTGTGATTTACGAGTTTTCTTCATCCTAGCCAGGTCTTCTTTGTCTCAGCTTGGGTGAGTTTCTGGTATGTTGCTCAGTTTAGAGTTCTTTTGGTCTTCTTGGTCTGGGTTTGGTTGTTTCGAACAGCTTGTTACTGGATTGTGGTTGTACCTTCGACTGCCTCTTATTGCAAGAAACAGGTTTTATTAATTCTGGGTTCGGTTCTTGCTGTTGCTTCTTACCTGGTTGTTTCGGTTCTGGTCAGTTCCTGTTGCTATCCAGTTTTCCTTTGCTTGGTTGGGTGTTGTTGTTCCTCAGTTTGGTGTTTATCTAGCTGTTGGTTCAGTAGGTTACTTGGTTTCTCTGTTCAGTTTGCATTCTGTCGGGTTTCCTGTTTTGTTTTGGCCGGTTTGGTGTTCTTCATGGTTCATGGTGTTCTTGGTTCCTTTGTATCTACTGTGTACTATTGGTTCCCTCTGCTTGTGTATGTATTTTCTACATGTCACATGGGATTGGTTTTTTGAATTTGGTCTGACTTTCCTCCCCCCCTTTTCTGCCTCGGTCAGAGTTTATTCCTTGGGTGCAGCTTCTAGCTTCTGATTTTGGGTACTTGGATTGACATATTTCAGTGGGTTGGTGGCTGGTCTTATTTTTGACCCGTTTTCTGCTCTTATTGGGTCGGGTTGGTGGACTTATCCTTCTTGGGCCGAATTTTCTGTTGGTGGGTCTCGGTTGGTCCTTTTGTTGTGGGCCTGGACGTTCTTGGTTTGGGCCTTCCTGTGGGCATTTTCTTCATCTTTTTTCTAGGCCTTTATTTCTTTTGGGCTGTCTATTGTTGGGCTGCTTGGGCTTTGTGCTTGGTTGTGCTGGCCCATTCTTGTTTTGGGCCATTTTTTCCTGCTTGGCTGGGCCTGTCCCTCCACTTCTTGAGCCTACTTCTTGGGCCGACTCCTTGGGCCCCTTTTGGCTTAACATGGGCAAACACAAAATTGTTTTGAGGAAAAGATTTAGGCCTGGTCCGATTAAACCCATGGCTAACCAACGGGCTGCTTCGGATTCTCTTTCTATTCAGCATGTTTCTGCCGCTTCTCTTGATGCTAGACCTGTTTTGCCCCTTGTTGATGGGAAGAGTAAGGTTAGTATTCCTTCTCCTAGTGTTTCTTTAACACTTGGTGATCATGACACGGATACGGGGTGTTCGGATTATGAGGTTATTTCTGAAAACAAAAATGCTAATGTTGGTGGAAGTGATCCTATGAAGAATATTAAAGCACCTTGGGTAAACCTTTTTAAGGATAATAGGAAACTTGATGAGAATATTAAGTTGATGGCTTTTCACTCATCATCGGAGGAAGTAATTTTGGATGATACGGATGAGGATAACTTAGAAAATACATGGGGGTATGGACTTGTTGGATACTTTGCCGGAAGTTTTCCCGGGAAAGTAGCATTGTTGCAATTGTGTGACTCATGGAAAGTGAGCTATAAGTATTTTGTGCATTCAAGTGGATGGCTTGTTTTCAAATTTGATTCGGAGGTTGCGAGATTGAGTGTGTTACACGGGGGCCCCTACTTGGTGTATGGGAGACCACTCATGCTCAAAATCATGTCGCAATATTTTGATTTTGACGACAAGGATGTGAGCACGATGCCTGTATGGATTAATCTTCCGGGGTTACCCTTGGAATTTTGGAACACCACATCCTTGGGGAAAATTGTGACTAAGGTGGGTAAGTCTATATCCACCGACAAGGTCACGGCTTCAAAGGAGCGTTTATCTTATGCTAGAGCTCTTGTTGAAGTGGATGCATCCGTTGAGCTCGTTAAATTTGTCAAGATTAGGCTCCCAAATGGTACTCTACGCGAGCAAGAGATTGTGTATGAGCATGAACCGCAATTCTGTGGATCATGTAAAGTTTTTGGGCACACGTTAAACAGTTGTAACCTTTAAAAGAAGCCTCCCCCGGTGATTGTTGGAAAGAAGAAGGATGGGAAGACACTTAATTCTGCCCCTCAGGCTGGGATTTCGATTATTTGACAGAATGACATTGCTGGAACGTCTTAAACCCAACAGAATTTCAGCCCCTCAGATCGACCAGAACAGGCTCCAATTATGGAAAATTTTAGTGACATTCCGGGGGTTAAAATTGGTGAAAAAGGGGCAGAAACTGATGTAGTTAATCCTCCTTTTGTTGAGGTTAGAAACAGGAAGAAAGGTGTTGTCCATAACAACAAATCTGTTGTGAATAACCCCCCCTTGCTGCTGAAAAATGACAATGTCCAGCCCACTAAGGGGCCGGCTGTTTTGGAGGGTGGAAATGCTATGTCTACGCTGGTTCCAAACTCGAAAGAGAAGCTAAAAGCTAAAGTAGATGATGATGGGAAGTTGGCCAAAAAATCTGGTAAGAAGAAGGGCATTGCCCTCCCTTCATCAATATGAAGATTGCCTTGTGGAATATTAGGGGCTCTAACCCGCCCCTCAAACACAATGGGGATAAAGATTTGATGAGACGTAATGACATTGACGTCATGGGGATTTTGGAAACAAAATTGGATGACTTGAAGCTTTCGAGAGTCATGAGAAATAAATTTGGTGGCTTCAACTTTGCTAATAATTTTGCCTATCATGATGCGGGGCAGATTTTGATTCTATGGGATTTCTTGAAGGTTGATTTGGATGTGTTGGAGGCTACGGCACAACTTATTCATTGCTCTATTACTTGCAAGGTAACTTCGCATACCTTCTTTGTTAGTTTTGTCTATGCATTCAATACTATTGTGCCTCGTAGGCCCCTTTGGCATGATCTTGAAGTTTTTGGCCTAAATTGCTCTTCGCCATGGTTAGTTCTTGGGGATTTCAACAATGTGCTTAACTTTGATGAAAAGAGTAATGGGGCCGATGTCACGCCTTATGAGATTAAAGATTTTGATATGTGTTGCCAAAATATTGGACTTTCGGATTTGAGATCGATTGGGTGATTCTTCACTTGGAATAATAATTCCGTTTGGAGTAAACTTGATCGTGCTATGGTAAATGACGCTTGGATGCTTGAGAGTTTTCATAGTTTTGCTAACTTCCTCCCCTCGGGTTGCCTTTCCGATCACTCCCCTTGTATT